GTTGGACACAATAACTTTATTTATTTCTTTATATGTGGTGTTGAGGATTGAACCCAGTGTCTCACACATGCTAGGCGAGCACTCTACCACTGAGCCACAACCCCAGTCTCCCCTTCTTCTTTCTTCTCCTGTTTCTTCATTTCATTTGGGCCTGCAGTTATTGGATGGTATCACACAGGTTCAGGGCAGGTCTTTCCCATTCAGTTCACTGATCCACAAGCCAATCTTCTCTGGAAACACCTCCACAGACCCATCCAACCAATCCATAAGTTTTATGGGTTGTCTAGGCATCCTTCAGTTTACTCAGGTTGAAAACCAAAATTACCTGTTGTGTTTTTAGTCCTCTCTTGGGAAAGTGTCATGTGGTAATGTATTGAAATGTGGCAGCCTAGGGTAGCTTTGCTTAGTTAAAAGTTAGCCTTCCCTCTCCATGCATTACAGAGATTGCTTTGACATGGCCATCTTGCAGGTGGGTGCTAAGATAGGTAACATGCTCGTGATCTTTTCATTGTACCTCAGATACAGTTAGCTTGTTCTCAGCATCTTCTCAGATTATCTCACATCCTGCTTATTTTATCATCTCCTTCTACGGCTAGTTCCTGTCCCAGGAAGGGCTGTCTTAAGATGGATTTATGGATGTTTTACTCCTTTTTCACACACTCTCCTCATGTCCTAGAGCAGCAAATCTCGTGGCTTCACCCTCAGCTGGGAAGAAACCATGATCTGAATTGCTTAGAAACTATAGTCTGAGTTGGACAAAGTAATTTAAAATTTCTCTGCATCCTTCTACAAAGACTGACTCTCAATCTTTACTGCAGGATTTTTTTTTTTTGTTTTTTGTTTTTTGGTTTTGTTTTTTGAGATGGAGTCTCCCTAACTTGCCTAGGCTGGGTTCAAACTCAAGATCCTCCCTAGAAGCTGAGATTACAGGCATGCACCATGAACCCAGCTTATTTTTAATGCTAAAAATGTTTAAAAATCCTCAATGACCCTTTTCTATCTACCTTCTTCCCCTATCCATAGTTGCCTCAGGCTAATTAGTGGAAAACCATCTACTTAGGTAAAACTGAGAGATTTATGTTAATGGTTTTTTCAGAATTTCATCTCATTATACCTGTCAGTCAGCCTTTGTCTTAAGGGGAGTTTGAGGGGTTTATGTAGAGGAGTAACAATCAGATGATGTGCAGTTCTTTACTAAAGGGAATGGGTAAGTCTGCATGTAAGTAGTGTTTCCCTGTGGGAATTCTTTTCTAGCATTTCTTGATTTTTTTTTATATAACCAAATCCTAAGATATAAGGAAATGATGCAAATTAATATATTCCGTTAGAATGAAAGCTTAACAATCAATTTACAGATGATACTATTGAAAGGAATCTACTGAGCTTAAGTTGAAAGTGAAAGAATGAAATCTTGACAGGCAGAATTGAAGGTTAAGGTGAACATATCTAGGATCTGGGTTAGAAGATCTAACTAGTATTACTTATAGCTACTGCCTTATTATAAGCATGTGCTCATGGTTCTGTCTTTTGCTAATGTGAGTCAGTCTTGTAAATAAAAATAAATATTTATATTTGTGTACATTATATACTTCATATAAATGAGTGGCATTTAAGTTTGGGATAAAGAACTTACATTGGCTGTCTCAACACATGCTTCTGAGAAGTGCTATCATTTTTCTAGGAGCTCCAGATGGGAAGTAATTTGAATATTACCCTATCATATCTGCTGATGTTTTCCAGCATTTCAATATTCTATAAAGGGTTCTATTATTTGAGGTAATTCTTAATCATTGAATGTTTTAAAATACTATGAAACTAATTATAGAAAATGTTTGAAGTATATTCAGAATTATTTACAATTTTGGAAATTGATTTTTTTTGGATATAGAATCCCACTTGGGAACACTAGATGTGAAGAGACCAGTTTAGAGGCTGTTTTAGTAAAATAGAGGATCTAATTGTGAGTAGATGGGACAGATGCAATGAATGGAGGTAATGGAGGAAAGTATATGTGATGTATTAATATTTAGGATGTAGAATTGAAAGAACTAATTGAATGTGGGGTATGAAAAGGAGAAAGCAGCCAAGGGTGATGCTGGTATCTGCCATGAAAAATTAGGTAAATAATAGGGCAGACAGTTGTGAAAATAAGTGAGAAGGGGAATGGGTAGTGTTTGTGTGTAAATGTGAATACATGGAATGAAGGACAAGCTCAGCTTTGTATTTCCTGAGCTTGAGGCACCTTTGCATCATCCACCTAGAAGGTGTCTGAGACTTGGAAGTGGAAATCTGTTTTTAAGTCAACAGTATATAAACAATGTAGTTGGAGAGGGCCAGTAAATACCACTTTTGATATTACCAATAATGAACTCATTAGAGACAAATAGTTTCCCACTTGGAGGAAGTTCCAGAATTGTGAGACCAGAGAGTGCAGGGCTATAGTAGCCAGGGAGGACCGTCCATCCTCTTTGATACTAGACTGTGATGCAGCAAAGTGGCAGATGAAAAGAGCCCCTGTGATTTGTTGTCAATATTTTAAATAAAAGTTGAGGATAGATTAAATGACGTGGTGGGAGATGAACATATTCTTCAGTGGATGGGTACATGATTGGAAGGAATGAAGTGAAAAAAGCAAGTAAAAATGGGAGGGAAGAGTGAGGAGGAGGAGGATGATTGGTAGTGAGCATGGGGTTAGAGAAGGTTTGTTTTTGCTTGTTAGAGGGGAGAGACTACTTACTTGCTCCTTCCTATGAGCAACTAAAGAGGAAAAGGTTAAAAATAGGGGTGGGGTGGGGGAAATACTTGAGAAGCAGGAAGGGATGGGATCCAGAAAGAATGATTGGTCTTTAACATCAGGAAGGAAAGATGGTAGAATATGTGAAATAGAGGTAGGATGGTAGCTTTATTTCTGGGAAGCCCAAAAAGTTCTATGAAAGTTTCTATTTTTATTGTTAAGCTGAAAGATGATGTCACTGCTAAGGGTTGAGATGCCTGTAAAAGGAGCTTGAGGAGAATAGTAATAGATTGAAATACTTGTTATGGAATGTAGGAGAGACATCTGAAGAGGTCATTAGAAGGTTTGCCTAGCCAAAGTGTGGAATCTTGACTTCATGGTGTCAAAATCAATAGGGTTTTATTATTTTTCTTTACTCTGGGTGAGAAATCTGGATGGGGTTCTAGAGAAACTGAGCTATCATGTTTATCTTATTTTGTGTTTTTTTTTTTTTTCTAGGCTGCTATGACAAAGATAGTGAAGCAAAGATATTGATTAAAAAAATATTGCCAGGCCATGGTGGGGCCTGCCTATAAACCCAGCTACTTGGGAATCTGAGGCAGGAGAATCACAAGTTTAAGGCCAACCTAAACAACTTAGCAAGACCCTATCTCAAAATTAAAAATGGGCTGGGGATATAATTCAGTGGTAGAGTGCCCCTGAATTTAATGCCCAAAACTAGAAATAAAATAAGTTGCTCAGCCCAGTGGCACATACCTGTAATTCTAATATGTGGGAGGCTGAGGCAGGAGGATCACAAATTGAGATAAGCCATTCTTGTCTTGAAATAAAATAAATGAAGGACTAAGTATGTAGCTTAGTGATAGTGCACTTGCTTAAGCATGTGCAAGGCACTGGGTGGACAGACAGACGATTCTCAGTGCTGGAAAAAAAAAAGTTGACATAGAGGGCCAAGGAATACATACCAGATTTATTGAAGTCGATATTGGGGCTATTTACATGAATGAAAAATAATTAAAGAGCGAGGGACTGATTAAATAGTAGAATAAGAGAACTAGTATGAGGGTATACCTGTGAGGAAGCTGGCAGGTGGGGTGTTTGTGTTCATCAGGGTGTCCAAGTTTTGGCTTTGGCAATGGATATGTGACATTGAGCAGCAGTGGTTTGTGAGAAATGAGGGGAACTGAGAAGTCAGCATACTTGAATGGGCAGTAAGTACCCCAAGATGGTGTCAGGATTGAAGGTAAGGAGAGAGACTGCTGTTATGTGGTTAGGGGTGAGTCACCAGAAGGCTGGCAGGTGGTGGCCACAGAGTACACATTTGAGGGAACTATGGCTCAGAGGGCTTGCAACGTGAGTGGAAAAGTCATTGATCAAAGACACCAGTGGGTTTTTTTTATTTTTATTTTTTTTTGAGAGAGAGAGAATTTTTTAAATATTTATTTTTCAGTTTTCAGTGGACACAACATCTTTATTTTATTTTTATGTGGTGCTGAGGATCGAACCCAGCACCACGTGCATGCTAGGTGAGTGTGTTACTGCTTGAGCCACATCCCCAGCCCAGCAGTGGGTTTTTGATGTGGAGGTTTACATGACTTCTCTTCAATGAAATAAGTAGGTGAGTGGGAGTCTCCATCTGAACAATAAAGGGAGATTATGATTATCAGGAAGAGTTAGGCTTTATTTACAAATAGAAAGCAAAGTAAATGTTCATTGAACTACATACTGAGGCTCTGGGATTTACTGACTGTGTAATTAGATGTTCCATGGGGCACACATGTAAGAGGAAACAGATGGAGCAGTTTGGGTAAATGGCAGACACTCACAGGCATACTGATGGCAGCTCCAGTCCCGATGCCTCTGTGTGTATGTGGTGGGTGGGCATGTGTTTGAGGCCTGATGTGATACTCTGAGGTTGGTAACTGAAGATTCCGCTGGTTCAGAACCTGATGTCCAGGATCTGAGAGTGTGTATAGTGCAGGTGAGGTTATATAATCCCCTTTAACCATTAAACCACAGGCTTCTCCTTGGGAGTAATCCCCTGGGAGCAGTAGGCTCTTGGGCTGTGATGGACCCTCCAGGGTGGTAGGCTTTGGGAATTTGATCAGACTATAGTCTCTGCAACCTGATTTAAATTCTACTAAGCTTTTGGAGCTATCTCAGCTCTATGCTGTAGAACCCTTTATCTTTTCCTTTTCCTAAATTGATTTTTATAGCTTTAATTTTTCAGCATACCTCTCTTCAGCTCCACTGCTAGAATCTGACATTTCATTGCTTTTAACTTTGATTCTGGCTATCTTGTTGGACTTTAACACTCTGGTAACCCAATATCCTCATTACCTAAGATTTTTATCTGAAGTCAGAGAGCTAACAGTGTTCCACATGCCACAGGAAATACTCTACTGATTCCACTGCCTTTGGCTCCTCTGTCTACTCTCCTTAAGTGGTATGGTTTTTTGTCTTTTTGTTTTTTAAAGAGAAAGAGAGAGAGAATTTTTTTTTAATATTTATTTTTTTAGTTTTCGGCAGACACAACATCTTTTTTGTATGTGGTGCTGAGGATCGAACCCGGGCCACACGCATGCCAGGCAAGCGAGCTACCGATTGAGCCACATCCCCAGCCCAGTGGTACGGGTTTTCAAATAGAGTTGCTTGTTATGAAATGTTATGATAAGAGAACCAAGTCTTTGCTAGATGATGACAAGATAAAGACTCAACTCCAGATCCAGCAAACTTTACGGATCATGTAGTTCATGTAAGCCCATTGTGTCTCCCAGAGTACCCTTTGAGGATGAGGCTTGTGTTAGTCTGTCACTGTGACAGAGTGCCTGAGATGAACAGCCTAAAGAGAGGAAAGATTCATTTTGGCTCATAGTTTCAGAGATTTTCGTCTACAGTCACTTGGCTCTGTTGTTTCTGGGCTTGTGAGGAGGCAGAGATCGTCATGGCAGGAGCATCTGGAAGAGCAAAGCTGCTTATCTCCTGGTGGCCAGGAAGGGAATAGAAAGAGCTCATTTTTATAATAAAGCCCTTTCCCAAAACTGATTAAGCTATGAATCTATAAATGGATTAATCCATTCATGATGTCAGAGCCCTCATGACCCAGTCACCTTCCAAAGGCTCACCTCTGAGTATTGCTGCACTAGGGACCAATCCTTCAGTGAGATTTTGGAGGACATTAGAGATTGAAACCATAAGAAGGATGCCAAGTCAAAAAGATGGCACCCATCTGGATCATGTGAGTTCTAGTCTTTGCATTCTCTTGGCAGAAATTCAGTTTGTTGTAAAACTACATAAATAACATCTAAAAAAAAATCTTTTTCCATTTTTAGGAAGAAGTAAGTCTAACTTGGGCTGGACACCTCTTCATCTGGCATGCTATTTTGGACATAGACAAGTGGTCCAGGATCTGTTGAAGGTCTATTTATGGCTTTACTTTTAATGACTATAATGAATAATTATTATGGAAATTATAGGATAAAAATCTTAGAAAAGCCAACTGGACCATAATAGTTTATTAAAGCAATAGCTCATAATTAAAAGACACTTAATTTTCTTTACTAAAAACAAATTAGGTTAGCTTGATTAATTAAAATTCTGTGATTTTAATAATTTGATTTTTACATTATTGGCTTTTTAAAGTGGCAAAGCAGGCATATTAATTAATGAAGATATAATTTTCAGTTTTACAAGCATGACAAGTTGAAAAAAATAACCAAAGTGCATCCCACATTAAAAAATAATGTCAGAATCTCTTAGCACTGTACTTAATGAGATTTGAGACCTCATATTTCTCAATTCTCTGAACAATTTTTCACATATGAATGTTTTTGAAATTAGGTTGTATCTTATTCTGTACATTTAATGGGGGCATTTTTTTTTTAAATTTGAAAACTTATTACCTTATGGTGGAGGAAATAGTACTGTATTTGGAGATAGTTTTCCTTTGTTCAGTATGGCTGCTTCTAAAGTTGAGTGAAGATGTATTGATTTTTAAAGAAAATCCCTTTTTGTTCTACTTATCTGTTAGACTTTTACCATTCAGGAAACTTACTATTTATTTTTACTATGAATTGAATTTAGTTTTAGTAGTTACAACTAAACAATATTAGCAATTATTCTAACTTTGAAATATTTAATTATTTCTAAAAATTAATTCTACTTTTTTTCTGTTTCTTGATATGTAAGATATACTAAAGTTTTCATTTTTATTAGGCTGGTGCAGAAGTGAATGTGTTGAACGACATGGGAGACACGCCACTTCACCGAGCTGCGTTTACAGGACGAAAGGTGAAAAACATTCTAATTTCAATGTTTACAAGTGAAATATTTGGTAGAGCAGTCACCACTATTTTCTCTGCTATAACCATCTTCTCAGCAACTGGAAAAAGCCATGAGAAAATGTATAAGCCAAATATATTGGGCAAAGGTGTTTCTTACAAATGAAATCATGGACTTGTGTCTGGCTTCTATAATTGGGCATAATGTGGTTGAGTCTTGTAATACTGTAGCATGTGTCAATAGTTTATCCCTCTTTATGAATGATATTCCATTGAATAGATACACATTTTATTTATTTTATTTATTTATTTTATCTGTTTGCCATTTATTGAAAGGACCATCTTTTTACCTTGATGAAAATCAATTGTTCATAAGTATAAGGCTTTATTTCGGTATTTACTATTCTTTTCCTTGATCTATATGTGTATCCTAACATCAATTTATTGCAGTAGCTTTGTAATTATTTTGATATAATAATCAAATGATATAAATTTTCCAGCTATAGTCTTGTTTTTAAAAATTATTTTGAGTACTTCAGTACTTTATATTTTCATATATATTTTAGAATTGTCAATTTCTATAAAAATGTCTACTGGAATTTTAATAGAGGTTATTTTTTTGAATCTATAGGTTGGTTTGGGAAGATCTGCCATTTTAACAATTTTGAATCTTCCAGTCTATGGACCTGAAATTCATCTTCATTTATTTTTAGGTCTTTAATTTCTCTCAGCATTTTAACATTTAGAATATTTCTATCCTCAGAAAGAATCTTTGTTAGTATAAAGATCTTTCACTGCTTTTGTTAAAAATTGACCTGACCTTAATCGGTAGAATTTGGAATGCATCTGGCCTGCTGATGTCTCTGCTCAGTTAATGTTAGCATAGTTTTCCAGCACCCTTGCATCTACATAGCTTAGTGGTTAGTCGGTGTTTGGGTAGCAGTGATCTCAAATGCTCAGTCCCATAGGCCACTTATACTCTCTACCTGTGGACCTGTGTTTAAGCTGGAGAGTGTTTTCAGAGTGAAGGCATTTTTCATTTCTGCCTCTCTTCTAAATTTCTGAAGTGTGCTCTCTTGTTTTTCCTGATCATGACTGATGTTTCTAGAAGCTGAGGGTGTGGATCTAACCTACTCCTTCTCTGGTTCTTTCATTTCTAAGGACTTCCTATTAGATAATCAGGCTATTTTGCCATTTGCCCTATATAGGAGGCAGAGTAATGGTCCCCAAAGGTGTTCATATCTTGATCTCTGAGATTTGTGAATATGTTCAGTTATGTGGTAAGGGGAAATTAAAGTTGCAGATCAAGATTGCTGATTGACTGATCATAAGATAGGAAAATTATTGTGGGTTATTTAGTATAATCACAGCAATTCTTAGAAGTGTGAGAGGGAAGCAGAAAAGGAGTCAGAGATGTGGCTAATTTGATGCAGTGTTTCAGGCTTGGGAATTGTGGAGGAAGGGGCTATGAATCAAGAAGCTGATGGCTACTAGAAGATGGAAAAGCAAGGAAACAGATCCTCCCCACAGAGCTGGTCCTGTAATACCTTGATTTTATCTGATGAGCACCATTTCAGATTTTTTAAATACAGAACTATGGATAGAAAATTCCTGTTGTTTTAAGCCACAAAGTTTGTGGTAATTTTTTACAATAGAATCGTATGCACTCTAATGGGAAAAGCAACCCATGCTATCAGTTATTAAGATTTTCCATTTGTTTCCAATGGCGTCTGCTACTTTTACTCTTACTGTCTCTTGGTGTAGGTTTTGCCTTTTGTTCCAAGACAAGTCACTTCCATCTGGCAGGAAAGCTACTGGCTGTAACTGCTCTCCCTTCCCTGGCAAACATCTTTGGGCAAGTGGGGGAAGGGTTAACTGCCTGTGGCTAGAAGGCTAATGACTCCTGGTGTTCTAACTTGAGTTCTAGCAATTCCTGTAGAATAACTGCATTTCTTGATTTATAGTTTCTTTTAGTGGATATCCAGCACTATGGATATGGTTAGTTTTGATAATTTTGCCTTTTTTTTATATACTCATTCTTTAGAATAACAGTCTTCTGGGCTCTAAATGCCACCACAACCAAAAGTTGTTTCACTCCATTTTTGTGATTTTTCTGATAATTTAAATGATGTAGTAAATTAAGTATGGCATAGTGTATTTGTTTACTTTGATAATTGACTACTGTCCAACATGATTCCTAAAGATCACTTATTTCTGATATCGGGTATTGAACCCAGGCGCACTTTACCACTGAGTTACATCCCCAGCCCTTTTTATTTTTTATTTTGAGACAGGGTCTCTGCTTTAGTCAATTTTTTATTGCTGTGACCACAGAGAGCGGTTCTGTTTTGGGGGCCTCAAGGATAGGCAGAACATCATGGTGGAAGAATGTGGTGGAGGAAAGTGGCTCAGGACATGATGATCAGAAAGCAGAGAGAGCATCCTCACAGACAAAATATAAACCACACGGTCACACCCCCCAATGACCCACTTCCTCTAGCCACATGCTACCTGCTTACAGTCATCACCCAGTTAATCCCTATTGGGATTAATTCACTGAGGAGGTTAAGATGCTTATAACCCAATCAATTCACCTCTAAACGCTCTGCATTGTCTCACACATGAGATTTTGAGGGACACAGCTAAACCATTACAGTCTTGCTAAGTTGCTTAGGGTCTTCCTAAGTTGCTGAAGCTATCTTCAAACTTGCCATCCTCTTGCCTCAGCCTCCCAAATTGCTGGGATTACAGGAATGTGCCACTGCACCCAGTTTAATATCTTTGAATTAGTAAATATCACACCATTCTGGCCTATTCATAAGTTGATACTTATGAATCAGAAAACAGTCTTACTAAAGTTGAGAAAATAGTACTTTTTATAATAAAACAATTAATAATAAACATAGGTTAATTGCTATGCTCAACTCAGGTTTCAAAAGTGAACTGCAAATTAACTTGCATGACCCATATGTGAACCACTTGCCATTTCCCTTAAGAGTCTTGGATTTCTCATCTTTTTCTGTGGACTACAGAAAGTTCTATTGCCATCTATTTTTCACACATACCCATTATTGAAAGTATAGCCCAAACATAATCACCATAAAATTTTTCTGACTTCTTGCAGTTGGAAGGCAGCTGTGCTTTTCCAGTTTTCCTGGACACATTTTATAATATTTTCAGTCACCTTATATCTTGTTATTAGAGTTACTGTTCTGTATTCTTAGCTTTCCTACTAGGTTGAGTATAATCTTGTTCTCAAGGATTTAACACAGTTCATTTTGTGTTTTCACTGCAAGTAACAGATTTTACTGCCCATCTCTGTTCTTAAGTAAATCAAAATCAATTCATTATAAATACTTGGCTCTTCACATATTGGGCCATTTCTTCTACTCTGCTACTTTGAACATGAGACCATATAAATTGAGCCTTAGTTGCGCTGGGGTTGTAGCTCAGAAGTAGAGCACTCGCCTAGCATCTGTGAGGCACTGGGTTCAATCCTCAGCACCACATAAAAGTAAAATAAAGACATTGTGTCTATCTTTAACTAAAAAATAAATAATTAAATTGGGCCTTAGTTTTGTTAGCATGTATTTTGTTGTCTGTTGTATCCAAAGATAATATTCAGCTGAAATTAAATGGTTGCATCATATAAAAATGCTTAAAATTTATGTGCTTAATAATTAAGCATGATTGGCTGCGTATAGTGGCTCAGACCTGAAATCACACCTACTTGCAAGGCTGAGGCAGCAGAATTGCAAGTTCAAAGCCAGTTTCAGCAACTTATTAAGACACTGTTTCAAAATAAAGAGAAAGAGCTGGTTATGTAACTTAGTGGTAAAGGGCCCTAGGCTCAGTCCCCAGTGCCACAAGAAAAAAAAAAAGGACAAAAAGTTACTTTCTGACTGTAATATAATCTTATTATCCTGAGATTTGTTGATTTATAGAAAAAAAAAAAGGACAAAAAGTTACTTTCTGACTGTAATATAATCTTATTATCCTGAGATTTGTTGATTTAATAAATATATCATTGAATTGAAAAGGTATTTTGTTTATTACAAAGCATTTTAAATTCTTATCCTCTGGATTATATAAAATATAGCTCCCCAAATTTTATGAGGGAATGGTCGACTTTTCTTGGTACATTAGCGACCCCTGCTGTTCACTGTTAAAAATTAATATATCAAAAATTTTAAACGTTTAATTTAGCTTTATTTTTCGCTCAGTTAGAATTCTGAAGTTTTTAATGGCTTTTAAAATAAGTTTCAAATGGGAATAAAATCAATATAGCAAATATTTGGATTGTAGCACTGAAATTTATTTATTTATGAATGGAATTGAGAATGTATTCAAAACAAATGCTTCCTGTACCTTGGGAATGCCATCTCTCTCACCTAACTTACAGAAGTTATGTGTAATCCAGAGGTTTGTACCAGAATTCCCTACGAATGGGTTACCTACTGCCAAACAACTTGATGTGTGTTTCATTTATTGGTAGGCAGCTATCCTGAAGCATACATAGGAATATTGCCATTTGTACTCCAGGAAGTCAGCTGAGATGGATAGTAATATAGAGCAGGTCTGTCAAGTGCTGCTAGATCATACCTATGATGGGGGCAAGAGTGGGCAGAGACTCGAGCCAACTGTGAGGCAATCTCAAGGGATGCCTCAGCCAACTGTGCTGAGAGCTCTGCAGAAGTTGGGGTGAGAGGCCAGGCCTTTATACTCCTGGGACAGCCATTCATTGGATACAGGTTATCTTGGGAAGGAAGTGTGACCTTACATGATATAACTCTCTTAAGCTGTGATAGCCTCTGACATGGCTACCGGCTAAAGGCTGCCTTCTGATCACTCCCAGCTCTTGGAGTAACAAGTATTTATTCCTGAAGGGTGATCTTCAGGCAGCATATTACAGATTCTGTCACAGTCCACTCTTCATTCCGCTCAGGTCCACTTCTTCATATGTTTCAGGATGCCAGTTGGCCTGTGCTCCTGGGGGATGCTTAGAAGAAG